GCAATCCCACGCCTGGGCATATATCCAGAGGGAACCTGAATTCAAAAAGGCATGCACCACAATGTTCATAGCAGCACTATTTACAATAGCCAAGACACGGAAACAGCCTAAATGTCCATCAACAGATGACTCAATAAAGAAGATGTGGTATATTTATACAATGGAATATTACTCAGCCATAAAAAGAATAAATAATAAGAAAAAATAATGCCACTTGCAGCAATATGGGTGGACCTGGAGACTCATTCTAAGTGAAGTAAGCCAGAAAGAGAAACAAAAATACCATATGATATTACTTATATATGGAATCTTAAAAAAAAAGACAAACGAACTTATTTACAAAACAGAAAGAGACTCATAGAAAGCAATATTACGGTTATGAGGGGAGGTGGGGAAGGGATAAATCAAGAGTTTGAGATTCGTGGATATTAACTAATATATATATAAAATACATAAACAAGCTCATACTGTATAGCACGGGACCTATATTCAATATCTTATAGTAATTTATGGTGAAAAAGAATATGAAAATGAATATAAGTATGTACATGTATGACTGAAGCAGTGTGCTGTGCACCAGAAATTGACACAACGTTGTAAACTGACTATACGTCAATAAATAAATATATATACACATACTAGAAAAGGAAGGAAATGTACACTTGGTCTTTGTCCTCAGTTTCTGCCACAGAGCTCCTAAAACCCTTGAATTTTCTAAGTGAAAAGAGTCATAAAGGTGCATTTTGATATTCATAATAAGCCTTTTTCCATCACCCCTGAGTTTATGTTAACAAGGTGATTTTTGGAAAGCCTGTAAGGATGCCAGGGGAGCCAACCAAGTGATTAGAGGGTTAGGACTCTCAGCCTCCCCCTCTGACATCTGCGGAGGGGAGAGGAATCTCCAGTGGCCGATAATTTAACTAATCACGTCCATGTAATGACACTTCCATGAAAACTCAAAAGGTCAGGGTTGGGAGATTTTCTGGGTCGGTGAACACGCAGAGGTTCAGGGAGAGAGTGGTTCCCAGAGGCTGTATGGAACACACCTGCCCTCTGCACCTCTTCCATCCGGCCATCCCTGAGTTAAATCCTTTTATAACAAACTGGTAGTCTACTAAATAAACTGCTTTCCTATGTTCTCTGAGCTGTTCTAGCAAATTCACCAAACCTGAGGAGGCATTTCATCAAACCAACATACAGTCGACTGGTCAGAAAACAGGTAACAACTGGGATTGCAGTTGGCATCTAAAGGGGGGGGGGCTTTCTTGTAGGGCTGAGCCCTTAACCTGTGAGACCTGACGCTATTCCAGGTAGAGCATGTCAGAACGGAGTTCAGCTGGATCTTGTTTTGTACATGAAGAAACAGGTGCATCGAAAGGGTTAGAGAAGTATTAAAGGGAAGGTGGTTACAGTGACGTTCTGGAACCAGGGTGGGACGTAAGTAATCTTGCTGCTATGTTTCCAAGATGTAGTCTGAGTCAATCTACATTTTAAGCAGAAGGTGCAGCTCTGAGACAGGAAATCAAATCAATGATAAAAGTCAGAATGTGCAATCAAGGAGGGTGCCCTCAGGCCAGTGACCCTGGGTGCTGTCGTTCCAGCACCAGCAGGACCCAGATGGATGGGGCCGCACTAGCTCAAGCTCAGAATGACAAGAGAGAAGCTTCAGGATGGGAAAGCACAGCAGAACAACCACTAGGAGAGATGCCACGTGGACAAGGCATGTCTACAATGGCATCTGGTCCAGG